TTCATTTGGCAATAATCTCATGGGCACATGGTCAGGACCAGGCAATTTGTATGGAGCATTTTAGTTCTAAGATGAAATGCACTGAGAGATTGGGATGAATGAGCTTCTGACTTGCAGATTTAGAAAAAATCATTTCTTCCATGCACTTCCCTACAAATACCAAACAGGAACCAGGAAAAGGAACGAGGGCCTTCTCCCCTCTATCCTGGTCAAGAGTTCTTGCCCTGGCCTGAAGTGACCTTTTTTCCTACGACTGTATCATCTATGTTCATAGCTCAAGTTTGACTGGAACGTACTGGTCAAGTTTGTCTATGACTAGTGTCTACCATGATCAGGGGGCATCCATTCTGTTTGGTTGGTGCTTGTAGTGGACACACTGTAAGGTGATCCGTCTCCAGGGGTTATATTCTTCATAATCCCCTCCCTGTGAGTAATGGGGACTTGTGCCCTGCTTCAAACCAATAGAACAAGGCAAAGGTGACAGGACATCAGGCCCAAGATTCTTGATGACAATGAAGAAGCCAAAGGTTCATGCTGTGAGGAGACCTATGGTGAAGGTCGGTGACATGGAACTGCGGGGCTGGAAGTGTTCTCATAACCACAACCAGCAAGAAAACAGGCTCTCAGTCCTATTAGCTCAAGGAAATAAATTCTGCCAACCACCTGAATGAGCTTGAAATCAGATCTTTCCATGAGCCTCCATACAAGAACGCAGTCTGGCTGATACCTTGACTGCAGCCTCATGACACCCTAAGCAGAGGCCCAGGTGAGCAATGCCAGGACTTCTGATCCATGGGAACTGGAAGCCGACAAACGTGTTTCTTTTTAAGATGTGGTCATCATCTGGTCCCATCTGTGCTCAGTCATGTCCGACTCTTTATAATCCTTTGGATTGTAGCTCGCCAGGCTCCTCTGTCCATAGAATTTTATGGACAAGAATACTGGAGTGGGTTGCCATTTCCTTCTCCAGGTGATCTTCCTGACCCAGGGATTGAACCTGCAACTCCTGTGTCTCCTGCATTGCAGGCAAATTCTTTACCTGCTGAGCCATTGGGTGTGGTCACTATCAAACTAATTCAGGGCATACACCATACCAACAGTTAATTTAGTTGTCATCCCTCCTTGTCTCATTCATTGCACAATGAGTCGTACATTGCATTGCAGAATATTCCCTAGACTCCGTGTTGTAATTATGAAAGTGAAAGAAAGTGAAGTCGCTCAATCATGTCCGACTCTGCGACCCCGTGGACTGTAGCCCACCAGGCTCCTCTGTCCATGGGATTCTCCAAGCAAGAATACTGGAGTGGGTTGCCAGTTCCTTCTCCAGGGGATCCTTACAACCCAGGGATCGAACCCAGGTCTCCGGCATTGCGGGCAGACTCTTTAACCTCTGAGCCACCAGGTTGTAATTATAGCTTAATACAATTACGACTTTTCCTCTTCACTTGATTCTTAGTACCACAAGAGCAAGAACTCTGTTCTACTTTTTAGAAAGCCCCCCAGTGTATGAAAGTATCTAACACACAAGGGACACAGTATAGTGATTGGAGGCTTTGACCCTTTATTTGTTCAATTAAACCAAGGGGCTCTTAAAGACATAGGTAGAGGGGACAAACTTTGACTGCATGATTAATGGGTACCCACTTAGGTCTCAGACATGCAGAGAACAAATCAAAAGCCTTCAAGTTGATCGTGGTTCAACCCAGCCAGCGGGATCTTGTAACATCATCTCCTTCTCACCAGCAAAATCAAATACCCAAACATCCCTAGACTTCTTTGTCAATCTGTCAAGATTATGATTCTGCAGATCCGGCAGAAGGCAGAAGTGTGGCTGTAAAAGTTCTTTGTGGCTTTTAAGTTTGCAAGTAGAAGAAGCAAGAGGCCCCTGCTGTGCACTCTTCCATTTCAAAGAGGAGGAAGCCACCAAGAGAATGGATACACACTACCCTTCCTCAGGAGCCCTTTGTGGGCAGCCCTTCAACTCTGACTCAAGTGGGCGTATCCAGATTCAAGCAGACCAGAAATCCAAGCCATATTAGGCAGGGCTACTTTTTATTCATAGGCTTACAGAATATGTTGAATTAAGAGGCACATCATTCAGTAAGTCTATTTGCCAATAAGAGCTAAATGTATATTCAGCCTTAAAATTCATCCATGGTAGCCTGCATTATAGATTGCAAAATTTGCTTTCATATACATATAAACTATTCCTATTTGATTTAAGTTATGTATTTAAAATCCATAAAATGATGCCAGATGGCATACTGGCCAATTTTACCACAGTTCTTATATATTCCTGATAAGTTGAAGAGATGGGTAGAGAATGCATAGTTTCCTACTAGAAAAAGGCAGATTCTGATACAAGCAGTGGAAGTGTCGGGACAAGAGTACCTCAGTGTAGAGCTAAGTAGTTTTATAATATAACTCTCATTTTAATTAGCATTACAACTGGTTCCCTTCTTTAATAATTGGGATACTGTTAAATTTGCCTGGTCTTTTCACCCTCCATTTGTCTGGCTGAGGCAAAGAAAACCATTATTACTTTTCCTTTTCTTCCAGTTTATTTCTACTTTCCCAAAAGCATTTCTTTCATAGCCATCTGCCCTGCCTCTCTGCCTATCCCAGTGTCCCCAACTCTGGGTCACTTTGCTCACTGCATCAGCACCTAGATTATAGCAGCCCACTTCAGAATCCAGTTTAACAGAATTTTTCACCACACTCTAATTAAAGAATTCTCTTTCAAAACTGTGATCATGGGGCTGTTACCTCTGCAGAAGAATGAGGAAGCTGGCTAAAGAGCTTTTCTTTGGATGGCATGCAAATAAGACTCCCCTCCCGCAGACCTTCATGTCTCTTTCATTATACCCCAGGTTGGAGAAATTTCCATTGTGAGTGTTCCTGGCAGCCAAACCTCCAGCATCCCATGCTGATTTCTTGCCTAAAAATATACAGCCTCTCACTCCATGGGGAAGAAAAATGCAACACTGCCATTTCCAGCATGCTCCCCAAAGGTTGGTGATGGCCCGGGAGCAATTCATCATTATTCGTGCATTGGAGGTTTTGGCATTTCCCTCATGGAACTCTTCCTGTTTATCCTATGGACATTGTGATAAGAACCATATGTGTCTTAACTTTAACGCCTCCCCCCCATAGCTAACAGGGGAAGGGGCGGGGTGGGGGGGGGGGAGGAACTATCATGCTAGCTAAAAACCCTCCTAAGAACAGAAAATTATCTGTGATTTCTGGCAGATTTTTTAAAGAGTCTTGCATATAACTGCAGTTCTGTAGTGTTTAATTATTAAATGGACCGATTGATTGAATGGTGTCTGTTTAGAACGATTTTTCCTCTGTCTATGCACATTTTGTTGCATTTTTTATTTTATCTCAAGGTGCTGCTATAGTCAAAATCGGGATAAAAAGTCTTTACTGGGAGGGCATGGCAGTGTCATAGAAAGAGAACATAAAGTCTGCTGCTCAGAGGAAAGCTCTAGCTTTGTCACTCACAACTGGATAATCTTGAGCAGGAATTGACTTAAGATTGTCTGTGTCTACTTCTTTCTCTGAAATTAGAATAGTATCTGCCCTCCAGTATGCCTTCAAAAACTGAAAAACTGAGATGAACACAATTGTGTATTGGAAAAACAAAGTTTTCCCCAAATGCAGGGTGGCCTTTTCACCCATTATGCTAGGCAAAAACACTCCTTAGAACAGAAAATTATTTGTAACTTCTGGCAGAATTACAAGGGTCTTGCATGTAATAGCAGTTCTGTAGCTTTTAGTTGTTAATCATGTTCCTGAGAACACCATGATATTCACACCTAAGGTTTGTTTTCAGAGTGTTTGTGAGAGATCTATTCCTGACCCCATGGAGTTTGGGGACAAGTCCTCTCCCTTTAAGGCTGTGTGGCTTGGCCACATGGTCATACAGAGGGATTTGATCTGGGTGCCTAGACACCAAGATTACAAAGAAGAAAGAAACTGCGAAGATGATCATCACCAGTGGGTGATGGAGAGGCGTGGAGAAGCCAGGGCAACGTCTTCTAAGACCAGCCCCACAGGGGAGGGGCCCACATGTTTCTCTGCGTTGGGTTTTTGTTGTTGTTGTTGTTTGGGGCTTTTCTTTTGTTTTGGTTTTTTACTTCCATTATTACTTGAAGAAAGCTTCTTGCAGGAATTGTTTCTTAGGGTTCTTTGGAGGGAGCAGTAAGATTAATGAAGCAAAGCTTCCACAGCCTCGTGCCAAGAACATCTATGCTGTTTTGGTAAGTCGGCCAGAACAAATACTTCGTCCCTCGGCACAGGGACTCTGTAGACTGAAGACTCCCATCTTGTCTACGGTTTTTTTAAAAGGAAAACTGATTGCCGCTGATGAGTGTCCCACCCTTTCACCCCCACACCCCTCCTCACTACCAGTTGCTTTAGATTTTCCTTTCACCCTCCAATGTCTCATCTGGACTCAGCAAGTCCCCCCCAACCCCCAGCCCCATCCCTTTTGCTTCCTGGGTTTTCCAGATTCCAGGCGATGGTTCCCAGTGTGGTGAGGGCAGAGGGTGGCCCCCAACTCCACCCTGAAAGGCAAGGCTGAGAAGGTGGTCAGTGCTCTGAGGAGGCAGCAATGGAGAAGATGCCCCGTTGCCTCCTCTACCAGCAGCTGGAATCAGGAACATCACTTTGACCTGGTGCAAATGCTGGGACGGTCTACATGTCTCTGCACTTCTTGTCAAGTGCCTGCTTTCCTCCCAGGCTCGTCTGGGGGATTCCACGTGCCAGAAAGCATAGCCAGTCCATCCTGACAGCTGGGGGGAAAGGCAGAGCGGTCCCACTTGCAGCCTCTGATGTGAGGATTTGGGTTTGTAGTTGTTTAGTTGCTAAGTCGTGTCCAACTCTTTGCGACCCCATGGACTGTAGCCCGCCGGGCTCCCCGTCCATGGGATTCTCCAGGCAAGAATACTGGAGTGGGTTGCCATTTCCTCCTCCAGGGGTCTTCCTGACCCAGGAATTGAACCCATATCTCCTGCATTAGCAGGCAGATTCTTTACCACTGAGCCACCTAGAGAGCCTGAGGATCTGATATTTGTAGTCAATTCAAATAAACCAGGAAGGCAAAAACACAGAAGAATGATTTGTGCTTAAAAATGAAAACAAGCCACTTTTTCCCCTGTTCACTCATGTTTAGTAGGAAAGTTTGGAGCAGCAACGCTACTGTGTGTGGGTGAGCTGGGCTGGAAGCCCTGAGCCTGCAGTCCCAGAACGTCCCCAAGAGAGCTGCTGTGACCCTGGGCATCGTTCTCTAAGTGCTATTTATTGCCTCGATCTGCATTGCTCAAAGTTTGGAAACAACAAACACATTCATATTTGTGACAAAACATCTACCTACTCATGACTTGGCAAACAATCATTAAAAAACAGCAATACAGTAGAAGATGAGTGTGCTACTTTCGCAGCCAGAAGAGAACTGGCTGGAGAACCACCCCTGAAAGCTTCCACTTCACATACTCTGAAGAGAACCCCATAGCCAGGCAGACTATCCACTGGGACCTCCTACAAAACCAGACCCCATGAGCTGCCCACACTGTCCAGACCAGAGAGGTCACCGTGTCCCCTGAGTGTGGATGGGGATTCACGGTGTCTGGCTCCAAACCTGGTCCCTCTGGATCAGCCTGAGACCCCCACCCACCAGAGCCCAGCCTGTACAGGGTGAGCCCTTGCCGGCACATGACCCCATGTGAGGCTGTGGGTTTCCGCTGCTAATGGGCTGGGAGAGGAAGGGACACTGCCACCATGAATACCGGGGCTCTGTAGTTTGATGGAGCAGCACCTTCAGAAGGACTGGACTGGCGGCAGAAGTACCAGCAAACAGATCAAGCAGGACTGGAACAGGAGCAGGGGGGTAGGCAGAGAGGCAGGGAGGTAGGCAGTATTTCAATTACTTGACATACTAAGTTGCCCAGAGGGCAAAACATGCATCCATCACAGACTCATCTCTAGGTTTCAAAGAATGTTGAGAGTTGTACAAAACCCTTTTTGACTCCACAAAATCTGACTTCAAAAACTCTACCAGATGCTCATCAGATGAAAATACCTGTTCTATTGCTCTCGGACAGAATAAAAAGCACCACTCAGTCGTTGGCCTGTCTGCAGGTTACCCACACACTCAAAGGACGGGCCCAGAGACGCACATGAGTCATGGAGAGCATTAAATGAGCTCGACTGTGCTGGCCACTGTGGGGGTCAGCTTTGAACCACAAGTAGAGTGGGAATCACCTTCGTCTCACTTCTGAGCCTGCAGCCTGTGATGGACCACTATGTATGTCAGCAGAATACTTTCTTTGTAGCAGAGAAAGCAATGTTAAACCTTATTTTGTTAACACACCCATGATGAAGATCCATCTATAGGAACCAAAGAAATAATCAAGGCTCTGCTATTAGGGGGGATTCAGGAAACTGGAAAGGCTCAAAATAGCACTGCTGAGTTGTTATCAGATTTTAAACTGATCATCAGCAATTCTTTTCTGCTGTCTCTGATTTTTTTAAGCATTCCTACCCAATAGACTGCTACAATGGAATGAGGAGGGCCCAAAGTGTGTTTGGTCTTTTTGTTTGTTTGTTTTTATTCCATTATAAGAGCGGTCCCAACTTATCGAGTTTTCTCCTTCCTCATTAAAAAGAAAAAAAAAAAGCTTATTACTTTCCTAGATGGTAAGAGTTAATTCTGTACTCTTTTCTCAGTAATTACAGGCTTTAGGACGTCTTTTTAAGTGGGAGAATGAACGTGTCATGCAGTTAGCCAATAAATGCAATCCCTGATTAAAATATGAGTTCTAAAAGTTTGCAAACTTCTAACTATTTCCCTAATGCATTTTCAGTTTCAGAGATGTGAACCTGGCTTCTTTCCTCCCCCCGCCCCCACCCTCAGTTCTTTCATGTAAGAGCTAAAGCTACGTGTCTTTTAACTTCACCAATCATACCCTCACAAACTTAAGTCGACAACTATGTGTTCAAAAATCTTTGTTTTCCCTTTGAAACTGGATGCGAAAAAGAAATCTCTCCTGTCAGTGGAGACGGCTGTGAAGGAACGAGGCGCCTGCACATAAATCTCCTTAAATTTTTTGAAGAACTGCTTCTCTTTATCCCACTGGTATATCTGGGAGAACGTGTAGTCGCTCCCCAGGGCCAGGTAGTGATTCTCTTTAAACGAAAAGGGCTGCAGGGTCATGGCCCCCCGGGAGGGCAGAGCCTGGATCTCCACGAACTGCTTGCTGTTCCATCTCATGACCCTGGAGTCCCCGATGAAGCGCGTGAGGGAGAGGTAGAGGGCGTTCTGCATCCGGAAGCTCTTTACAGCCAGCACGTCCTCCATGTTGGGGATGTCACTGTGGGGGACAAACTTCTTGGAACTCTTATTCCACTGGAGGATGATGGGGACCTGGGAGCGGCTGGACAGGATCAGGTGTGACTTCCCGTCTATGTCCACAAACTCAGCATCCGTGTCCCTGAACCACTCGTGCAGGGACTGGTACGAGTAGAATCCTTTGCTGTTCCATTTGTACACGGTGGACAGGCCGGCTTTGGAGCTGTCGGCGATGACGAAGAACGTCTCGTCCTCGATCTGAAACAGCTCGATGTCGTTGGGCTTGGAAATGCGAGAGACCTCTATGTCTTGGAATTTGACAAACTTGGTCCAGCTCTCGTCGTATCTGTAAATGTGAGAGCCGCCGAAGAGCTGGGCCACCACCACAAAGACCTGCTCGTCGATGAGGATGGCCTTGCAGCCCACGATGGACTGACCTGTGCCCCAGGAGAGGAGAGAGGGGGGTTAGGACCGCCACTGCCAGACACTCCTGCCCAGAGTCAGAGGAGGACAGATGTTCTATGACACCACTTCCACCTGAGTCTAAAAATAGTGCGAGTAAACTTATTTACAAAACAGAAACAGACTCAGAAACACAGGCAGCAAACTTATGGTTACCAAAGGGGAAAGCGGGGAGGGATAAATTAGGAGTATGGGGTTATCAGGTACACACTACTGTGTATGAAATAGACCTACTGTATAGCAGAAGGAACTATGGTCACTGTCTTATAATAATCTATAATGGAAAATAAACTGAAATATATGCATATGTATATAAAATGGAATCACTTTGCTTTATACCTGAAACTAACACAATATTGTAAACCAACTATAGTTCAATTAAAAAAAAAAGAAATAACAAACAACAATGAAGAGAGTAAATATTTATGTAAATCTAAACTATATAAAACAAGAGTTTCTTCAGGTAAATCAACTGTATTAAATAATAACATATTAATCAGAATATTTTGAGTTTAATAAAGAGGATGAAAAGGATAAATAATTATGTAAATCTAACTGGTGTTTAAAAATTGGTAACTAATAAAGTCTTTAGGTAAATTAAAAAAAAAACACTCATCTATACTGAAACTGGAACTCTTGTGAACATGTGGCCATTGTGGAAAAAAGTATGGCAGTTTTCAGAAATCTTAAAAGAATTACCATATGATCCAGGAATTCCACTTCTGGGTTTAAACCCAAAGAATTGAAAGCAGGGTCTTGAGGAACACCATGTTCACAGAAGCATCATTCACAATAGTGAAAAGGTGGAAACAATCCAAGTGTCCATTGATGGATGAATAGATAAACAAAGTGTGGTATACACACATCATGGAATAATGCACCACCTTAAAAAGGAAGAAAATTCTGACACATGCGGTGTCATGGATGAATGTTGAAGACGTTAGGCTAACTGATGTAAGCGGTCACAAAAAGGCAAATAGTGCCTGATTCCACTCATGTGAGGTCCCTAAAGGAGTCAGTAGACAGAGAAAGCGGAAGGGTGGTACCCAGGGTCTGAGAGCAGGAGAGAAAGGAGTTACGGTTTAATAGGCACAGGGTTCAGTTTTTCAAGATGAATTCTGGGGATCGATGCATGCCTTGGACAGCACACAAACATAGTTAAGATGGTAAATTTTATGTCATGGATATTTTCCCACAATTAAAAAAATAGTTTAGATATATCTCCATAGAAATAGGTAAGTGTTGGTCACCTTGGCCTCTGGTGTCTTTAGAGGTAGGTACATAATTCAGGAAATTCACTAAGACACAAATTGTCTGCATGCTATTCCTAGCTCCACGGGTCAGAATGAAGCAATTAAATGGGTTTCTTCTCTTGAGGGTTAAAACGCTAGGAATCAGGACTTAGAGGCGACTTTATAGCGACTGCCCAGAGCAGGTGCTGCAGGAATACCTGCTGATGAGCCACTATCTGAATGATCCAACTCTGGCAGCACCAAACCAGAACTTTGCAGGAAAAGGGGAACCTTTTCAGTCATGACTCCTCTGTCTGGGTCAGCTCCCACCATCCTCTCCCAGTCTGCACCCAGAGTCTCCCCCAAAGTCTTCCCATTCCAGCCAGAGAACAATAGCACCACCCACATCTCAAATAGTACTGACCCTCCATCTAGGTCATTCAATTAAAAGTTGTTTCTTTCCCCTTATTTCCTAGGCAATTTGGACCAAAGTGAATTTTGTCTGTAAATTACAAGGATAATTACCCAATTTCTACTCTTAGTATTAACTTTGGGGGAACATGGTGACTGGTTCATAGGGTGGTATTTACTTTTCTCTTCCATTGCTTTGGCTTCCCTGCAAGAACCTGGTCCCTTTCCTTTGTTGAAAACTAACTTTTTAAAGTTCATTAAAGCAAGTTTTGAAAATAATAATAGGTAACACTTATAAAGGCACTATTCTAAGTCCTTTACATGCTTATTATATGCTTAGTATATACCTAGTGAATCCTTACCACAGTCTTATGAAGCGGTACTCTTATTACCATCACCATGATCCTCATTTTATCAAGGCACAGAGAAGTTCAGTAACCTATATAAGGTCACACAGCTATTATACAATGTGGTAGAGTCTGAGACTCAAATCCAGGGAGTCTCATTCCAGTCTACACTCCACCACCAATGTACCAAAAAGCACAAAGAAGGAAATTAAAAAAAAATCACTTGAACTGAAAATGCTGAAATAACACTTAATATCTTGATATAGTTCTTTAATTGCCAATCTCTGCACATACTCAAAGGTGCTTTTTAAAAATAGACTTGGGCAAGAGTAACCTAGAAACTTACATTATCATATGTAAAATAGACAGCCAATGAGAATTTGCTGCATGGCTCAGGAAACTCAAACAGGGGCTCTGTATCAACCTAGAGGGGTGGGATAGGGAGGGAGATGGGAGGGAGCTTCAAAAGGGAGGGGATATATGTATCCCTATGGCTGATTCATGTTAAGGTTTGACAGAAAACAATAAAATCCTGTACATCAATTATCCTTCAATAAAAAAATAAATTAAAAAAGAAAAGAAATGGGAAAAAAATAGATATGCACTTACAGTATACACGGACTTTTTATAGGTTACTTTTCCCCCTGACCATTATGTTGTGAACATTTTCCCACGTTATTGCATTTTCTACAACTTGAATTTTAACACTACATCAGAGGGTAAAGCGTCTGTCTGCAATGCAGGAGACCTGGGTTCGATCCCTGGGTTGGGAAGATCCCCTGGAGAAGGAAATAGCAACCCACTCCAGTATTCTTGCCTGGAAAATCCCATGGACAGCGGAGCCTGGTAGGCTACCATCCATGGGGTCGCAAAGAGTTGGACACGACTGAGCAACTTCACTAATATTCCACTGCATGGAGACACCACATTTTACTTAACTAATTCCCTACTGTTGGACACTGCAGTTATTTCCAGTTTTTCATGATTGTAAATACTACGTTTCCCTGTAGGGAAATCTGTTTTTGAAGACCATCTGGCAGTGGAGAGATTTCAGAGCAGACGTTGTGCACATTTTTAAGACTTCTGAGTTTAAACTACTAAACCGCTTCTCAGAAACTGTTCTGACTCCCACCTGCCAACACTAATTAAGGTGCAGGCTCCTTGTCCCCCTGAGGCCTTGGCTACAGAGGTCCCTGCTCTGCTGGTCTCAGCAGAGGGGCCCCGTGAGACAGAAAGAATTCCTTTCTTGGAGATGCTCCATACCTCTGTCAGGGGTAGCATATGACATTGTAGCTAGTGTAGTTTCAACAGCAGCAGAAATCATGTGTGTGCGTCTGTATTTTAATCTAGGAGGAGAGATGCTGCAACATATTTAGTGGGCAGAAATCAAAAGGCAAACGAAATTAACCCAAAACAGGAGAGGTGAGAAGATATGTAGAAAGAAGAAGAAGAGATAAGGAGCAAAGCCGGGGGTGGGGGTCATGACCCTGGGTCTCCCTCACCTACTAGAAGACAGATGTCCCTTTTGCATGATGCTCAGCAGGGCCATGGAGGAGGAAGCATGTGTCCCTCCCATTCCTTGGAGCCCCAGACTTGCCAGGCAAGAAAGGAGAAAAGGCTGCCCAGCCCTTGCTAACTCTGGGATCACCCTGTGTTCAAACAAGATGATAAATGAGGCATGCTCGGCCCTGAGAGGGGTGAACGGTCCACATTTGCCTCGGTCTGGTTCAAGGCAAGTGGTTCAGGGCTCATCCACTTGTCGTATGCCCAGCTTGTGTGAGCTACAGAGCTTTCCTCCACACCAGGCTGAATTCTAGTGAGTCACACTCCTTCCTCCAAAGAGCGACTGACCCTCTTGCTTCTGTAACCACCCTTCACCCCTGCCTCCCTCAGCCCATTCCCTGCTGGTCCTGGCATTCTTACACTTATGAAAGTTGTAGAGATATTTTTACTCAAGTCAAAGAGTTAGGGTCTATGGGGGAAGGAGAGCTGCTTCCTGTTGTTGTTTTTTTCACCATAAAATACAGACAATAACTACACACTACGAGGCTGTGTGATTGAGGTAAGAAACGATTTATGAATCACTGAGCACATAAATATGAGCTGCCTTCCTCTAAGTGAAAAATTATGTGACAGTGAATGCTATTTGTGTTTAATGGAAATTCATGTATTAAGAGAGCAGAGAGAACAGATAACTCATTCCAATAAGGTAATCAAGGAACGCTCCCTGTAGGAGGCTGCATTTGAGCCTGGAAATGCAGGTAAAGGGAGAAACAAAAGAAAGTGAGGTGGCTGAATTGTAGGATGTGGTCAGAAATCATTGACAGAAAATTGGCATTATGTGTTTGGAAAAGCGTGTTGGGACCCTGATGTATGAATTCTGTGTGCTTTCATAAATTAAGAAAAGTAAAATATCTGAAGCTGGTGGATCTCCCTAGTGGTGGCAGCAGGAAGGAGAATCACATGTTCATTTTTTATCCACTACTGATATCCAATTGTTAAGAATTTGCTATATGCCAGGCCCCATGCTAAGTGTTATATAAGCTACCCAGTTAAATTCCCATGGGCCCAACACTATGATACCATTTTACAGATGAAATAGGAATTCATGAAATTACTATTTTACAGGTGAAAGAGGCTCATGGAAGTTAAAACTCAGCCAAAGTCACCAGTTAGAAAGATCCAGAGCCAGATTTCTGAAAAAACTGTCATGCTGGCGTTCTTAAGATGAACAAACACAAAGCATAATGAGCTGTTGTAGCTCATTTCTTGGGCTTGGCTGTAAGGAGGGTTGCCGTGGGCTTTGCGTCCAGCTGCCACCTCTCAGAAGATTCAGACGTCGACCCTGAGAGGCCAAGGAGTCCCCGGAATCCAGCAAGCTCCAGTCCTGGCTCTAGCCTCACCCACTCTGCCCTCACCACTTCCCACCCACCAGCTCTGCAGTCTCTGCCAGGTCACTTGCCTGAACCCTTGCGACAGCCTTTCAACTACTTTCTCCGATTCCACTTTTGTCCCCTCCCCACACACAGACTACTCTCCACCCAGCAGCTGGACACAACCTAGCATTCTGTAGCAGGCACCCAAATCTTCCGTGGAGACTGGCTGATGGCTGCACAAAATCCTCCATGACTTGGGTAAAAACCCAAGTCCTTGGCAGGACCTGCAAGGCCCTCAGGAGCAGCCCTTCAACCTCTCTGACCTTGTCCCCTGCAACAGCCTGGACCACTCTGTCCAAGCCAAACCAGCCAGCTGCATGTTCATCCAACAGGAAAAATACCCTCCTGCCTCTGGGCATTTGCAATTGCTCTTCCTTCTGTCTGAACTGTTCTCCACCTCCCCCTACCCCTGCTGTCCATGTGCGTCAAGCCCTCATGTCCCACAGGTTTTATTCAGACACCTCCTAAATGAAGCCTCTACCAGACACTCTATGTAACATTTCAATCCTTCCACGTCTAGCACTTCGTATCTTTGCTCCCTGCAACCTTTTCCCCTCTTAGCATGCTGCCATCTAATGTTTTGTATGTATGACAATTATTTGCCTTTTTTTGTCTCTTTCTCTCTCCACCATTATAATACAAACTCCTTGAGGGTGGAGGTTTTCCTGTGGCTTACTCACTGCTATGGCCCCAGCACCTAGACTGGGCTTGGCTCAGAGTAAGTGCTTAAGAAATCTTTAAGTGAACAAATGAATGAACGAATGGCTTGAAGAACCTGATGGTGTGACCTATGCAGTATGTACGAAGGGCAAGTGGAGGGCAGTGTTGTTGCTTCCTACCAAGGCCAAATGGGAGAGGGAAAGGGTGGGATGAGCAGTGACGAACCCTGGGCTCTGCCTTGGAGTGGTTCAACATGCCTGCGCCTCCATCTCTTCATTCATAAAGGTGAGAAGGAAGTCGGCATTAAGAACTGCCTGCGCTGTGCCTGGCACTTATCAGTCCTCACATCCACGTGAGGCAAATCTCCTGCCTACTTCACAGATGAGAAAACTGAGGCTCAGAGGCCACGGCTACTTCCTAGCACATAGCAGAGTCAGGAGTAGAACCCACATTCATAGATTTTCAAAACTTGAGCTCTTTATACTTTATACACCTCCTCTCTTTTGAACGAATGGCGCTTGTCCTCTTGTTGTCTCTCTGCTTGTTACTGCAGGGGACCTGCAGTAACGCCTCAAACAGCTATTGTGAGTTCCAGTGAGACTAACCAGCGCCTGGATCCCTGTAAGCCCACAGCCAGTGCCAGCATGAAGCACTGGCATCAGAACTCCTTGCTTGAGGGCACGACTCCATCTGTTCCTACTTCCTCAGGTGGGAGGCAGGAGAGAAGGCAGAGGGGCTGATTCATTCAGCCCTCACTGATCCTCCAGGTCAGAGAAAAGACACAAGCCAAAAGCCTTGCAGGCAGCAAAGCGAGCCCCTCTCTCGCCCTCCTTTCTCCTCTAACATGGACTGGCTTTAGGGTCTGGAGGCCTGGGCTTCCCTCCATTGAACCGCAGCACTCACCGGTGCTGAGTCTGCGCCTGGAACGAGTAAGGCTGCTCCCCAGGAATGGAGGCTCAGCACCGGCCAGATGGCATCTTGGAGCATCGAGATGTGCGTCTCACAGAGCTCTCGCCAGGTCAGGTTCATTAGCAGCTCTGCCTCCAGTGGTGAGCGGCTCTCTCCCTGCATCTCTGCACCTGTGGCAAGGCCACCTTGGGCCTGAGAGGTTCCTAGGAGCCTCTGGACCCTGAAATGCTACCTGGACATGCCCTCTCTGCAGCAGCAAGATGCTGCTGCAATCAGACCAGGAATCATGGAAGGAAACCCTCACATGGGGCCACAGTCAATGGTGCTGTTGATAAAGTCAGTATTATGATCAGGTTGCATTTCAGTAAAAAAAAAGTCTTTGAAAGATTATTTTGACTTTATCCACTTATTTAAAAAGCAAGTAGATGGTCCATCTTTAGTAGCTCTAAGACAGTGGGATTCAATGACAGCACCGAATGAACCACCAAGTATTATCCGAAAGGTTTGAATTTAGGAAGCCATTTATGCTTATTTTGTATGTATTTACTAAAAGGAAGGGCTTCCCAGGTGAATTCACCTGCTAAGGCAGGAGACATAAAAGATCTCTGGGTTTGATCTCTGGGTTAGGAAGATCCCCTGGAGGAGGGCATGGCATCCCACTCCAGTATTCTTGCCTGGAGAATCCCATGGACTGTGGAGCCTGGAATGCTACAGTCCATAGGGTAACAAACAGTTGGACACAACTGAAGCAACTTAGCACGCACACACTAAAACGAAGCAGTGATCACCAGGGCCTGGCCAGGGGCAATACAAACAGCTATAGAGTGTGTGTGTGTGTGTGCGCGCGCGTGTGTCCATACATGTGTGCATGAGAATGTGCATGTGCATGTGTGTATATGTTAGCATTCTAGTTACCAGCATCACAAAAGTCGAAGGATGCATATAGCTGCTAAAAAGCTGGTGCAGTCTCAGGCTGTCATGACTGTTCAAGATCAAGGGATTCTTGAAGTGACTTCTCCCCATTTCAGGAAAGTGCTTCCCACCACAGGGCCCCCATTACCCTCTCCCTTTCCAAAAGGATCACCAACAGTAAGTAGAATCACCACCTGAGCTTTCTGTTTGCATCATAACTGACCACATCCAGAAAAAGTTGGAGAGAAGCGGGTGGGCTGGAAATTGTTCCCAAATCAAACCAAGCCGGAGAGCCAAGCTCCCTCTCAGGACGACAAAGAACATTTCTTCTCTCCCGGGTTCTAGACTACTCTGGAATGAGGTCAGTACATCCAGTCAAAGCCACAACACACCTGTAATGTTGTCATAGCTCCGGAAATTCATTTCGATGTGGTCCCATTCCAGCACCATGCAGTTCTCCATGCTAGGCTGAGCGATGGCCACGTACACGTCATTCTTGGAGTTGAACGTATCCACTGAAACGGACTGGTAGGGCAGAGTCTGATGAACAACAAAATCTGGGAAAGCGTGTTTAAAAAGAAAGTCTCCATGAGATCTCTTGTGAGAATTACGGGCCACTACCCCCACCCCTTCTATCTTTACTCTCATTGATTCCAAAGAAGACTGGGGAAGGGGGAGGGTGGGAGAGAGCAACACACATCCCAGCATGTTTCAGTCTGAGAGATTCCAGAGGGTTCTGGCTTGCATGGGATTAGCAGATTGAACGCACAGCTTCTTATACAGCTTCCTTGAGATAAATAGCTCACGAGTTTGGCTAGAGTATCTCAAAGTTTTAAACAAATTTGGTGAGACCTGGCTTTCAGAAAGACAGGACAGCAAGGATGCTGCAGAGTAACATTCCTGAAATTACCATGAAATTTACTCTGTGAAGGAGGGATGCTGTGGTTAAATTCCTTTGGGAGATGCTGTATTTTTAGCTCACTCAGAATAGTCCCGGTAGTAAAGAAAAGTGAAAGTTAACTCCCAAAAGGGCACTTTTGGAAACCAAACTGAATTCTCTGACTAGGTCTTGGAGGTTTATAAAGCCCACAGTTTGGGAGAGTTAACCTAAGTGTTTACTGGTCACTAGCCTCATAGCAGTGCTAAGTATGGTGGTACCTGGGACCTGGGCAACGCTCTGCAGCTCAGAGAGCAGTTGCAGGAGATCTGTTCAATTTTCCAGCAGCATAGAAGCCGTCCTATTTGAGCACACGCTCTGCTCCTCCGTATAGTGGTAAGTCAACACCCGTCATCTGTATCACTCCCCTGAGCAAGTGACTCACTGTGTGAAATCTTGGTAGGAATGTACAGTTCCACCAAGAAAGAGGGCTAACATGCCATTGGATGCAAGAATAGTTAGTGTGTGGGGTGGCCAGAGCACTAGTGAAGAAAAAAAGAATTTAAAAAAAACCCAAAGCATTCATAAGAGTTTATTTCTCTGGCCAGAAATATTTTAGGGTTCACTGCTTCTTGGCAGGCTAAGGGCGCCCAGAATAAAATGAGGGTGGATGTCTGGTTTAGGAAAGTCATTCCTATGAGAAAAGCTTGGCTTTGCCCACCTCTTCCCCTCTCAATCCTTCTCCATGCCAGCTGAAGTCCCATCTCCTCTGCAAAGCTGTTCTGATGGGTCCAATCCACAGGACCAGTCCTAACTCACTGGACTCACAATCAGGCCCTATTGTTCACATGTGATTATTCACGGTGATTGAATCTCCAATTTTGTAGCATCCTGGTAGCTCAATCAGTAAAGAGTCTGCCTGCAAGGGGAGACCTGAGTTCAATTCCTGGGTAAGAAAGATCCCCTGGAAAAGGAAATGGCGACCCACTCCAGTATTCTCACCTGGGAAATCCCATGGACAAAGGAGCCTGGTGGGCTACAGTCCATGGGGTTGCAAGAGTCGGACATGACTTAGCAACTAAACCTACCAACTTATAATGATGTCAGGGTCAGATTTGGAAAATTCGAGGAATCTTAGCTCCAGAAGCTGAAGCTCAGAGAGGGTGTGCTCTTGGCCACTGACACACAACCGGCATGATGTGTCTCCTGAAGAGTTTCCTAAGAAAGGGCCTGGGTCCCCATGACACAAGCTCACAGCCACCATTCAAGAAATAACTGACTCAGAAGCCTCACAATGATGCCAAATGAGAAAGGCATTAAAAGGGCAGACACCAGGTAATAACTAAGGGGCCCCTTTCAGTGCAAAAGGACCAGAGGCAGATAAGTGGCAGAGCAGCTGACCCATTGTTGAGGGGGGAAGCGTGGACAGGGGTGCGACGAGCAACGCCAGTCAGGGGCGGGAGACGGTGGGGCTGAGGAGTCAGGGCAGTGAGGCACTGGAAAGAGCACTGCGCCTGCAGCCAAACCACCTGAAACCACCTTCTGCCTTTGGATTCCCAGGCTGTGCACTTGCCTTTACGAGGCCTCAGTTTATTTATCTGCAGTATGGGGACAATGATCCCTGCCTCTCAAGCGCAGTGGCAGGGACAGATTGGGCAAGGCAGTGGACATGCTGACCTCAGACTCAGCACACACGAGGCAGTCCCCTCCACTGTTCTGGCCACTGCTGGGCTATCTCTCGGGGAAAGTGTCCATTGTAATGGCATCTAAGATAAAATGCCAAAAGTTATGACTCTGTTTTTTTGCCGAGTGACCTCGGGGAAGTTACCCAACCTCTCCCTGCCTCAGTTTCCTCATTGTTTATTATGATTCATACTCATGTAGAACGGTGCTTTACATGTGGTGTGTGTTCATATGTGTCACCTTTTTGGAGGGGCCCCTTTCATTGCAAGTGGACAGGAGCTAATGACTTCGCGAGTGTGGGAGGGCTGACCTCAGCCCGGCCCACTCTGAAGATGTCGGGGGAGAGGATGGGCCTGAATGAAGGATATTTGCAGGTGTAGAGAGAAGGGGGAGAAGCAGAGAGAAGGCTGCCTCTGCCTCTGACAGCAAAAGGTGGCCGAGGATCGGTGGGGACAGGCAGCAGGAATGGAGGAGGTAACCCCTTCTGAAACATTCAGCAGCACCAAGGCAGGTGGGACAGATGGGCTCCTAACCCGCCTGCACCTACTGCTCCAGGAACTCAAGGAAGAGCTTCAGATTCCCCAGGAATAAAGTGAGAGCCACTTCTATCTCACAAGGGTGCTGCAGAGACCCAACAGGAGAGAGCCGGAAAGTGTGAGCACCCAGGCTTGGCTGCACTCAGGAGTTTTACGCACGTCACAACGACAGTGAAAAGCTGCCCGTGTGAAGACTTAGGGAAGAGTCAGCATGGCTCCAGGTTCCCTCTCCTCTCTCTGCTGCTGCTGCTGCTAAGTCGCTTCAGTCGTGTCCGACTCTGTGCGACCCCAAAGACGGCAGCCCACCAGGCTCTGCCGTCCCTGGGATTCTCCAGGCAAGAACACTGGAGTGGGTTGCCATTTCCTTCTCCAATGCATGAAAGTGAAAAGTGAAAGTGAAGTTGCTCAGTCGTGTCCGACTCTTCTCGACCCCATGGACCGCAGCCTACCAGGCTCCTCCGTCCATGGGATTTTCCAGGCAAGAGCACTGGAGCGGGGTGCCATTGCCTTCTCCGTCTCCTCTCTCAAGAACCCCCAAATACCAGCGTTGCTTGGTCAAAGACTAAAAATTGGAAAACTCGCCTGATTCATTCCAGTGGGCCCTGGTTGTCCCAGTGTAAAAGTCAGAAAGTGCTCTGGGGGCTGCAAGAGGTTTCCCTGGTCACAGGCTGGTCAATGGGAAAAGGAACAGGAGCAGCCACGGTCTGCTCCCTTTCTTGGAGGTAGAAGAGTACAGCCCGGTTCTTTGAATTACGGTCAAGACGGCTATCACCTCCTCTAGCACCTCCGCTTGCCTTTTCTCATCCAAGTGTGCCCAAGGTTACAAACACTCCCGATGGCTGTAACCCCAGCTCCTTGTATGCAAAGACTTCTGCCTACACTGAATCCCCAGCAACATGAGCACTCATGAGCTTAAACATGCAGACGGTCCAAAGCACAGACCCAAAAGTTTACATTTTTTTATTTAAAAAAATTCCAGAAAGAGAGCTGCCAAAAATAGAGAGCATTCTACAAATCTAGCCTCTCATGGCCCTATTTCCATTGATTTCCCCCAAAACATTGGTTTCACAATATTTTCTATATCCTAGCTATCTGGCAAAGCAGAGACTCCTAAATCATTTGAATTATAAATCTAATTCTTATTTTTAAAGTTTTTTTTTTTTTTATGTGGACCATTTTAAAAATCTTTATTGAATTTTTTACAATACTGCTTCTGTTTTACATCTTTTGGCCTCGAGGTGTGTGGTATTTTAACCTCCTACCAGGGATTGAACCCACACCCCCTGCACTGGAAGGCAAAATCTTAACCACTGGACCGCCAGGGAAGTTTCATAGGTCTAATTCTTAATAGGAGACTCCTTCTCCCTCTTCAATGACCAAAAAGGGGAGGAGGAAGAGGAGGAAGAAAGAAGAGAAGAAAAAGGGGAAGAAACGGGTGAAACAATATGATTGATGAATGTGTGCTTGTGTGAATGGGGGAGGGGACCTGGGGAATTTAAACATCTTCCCCCATCCCCCTCTTACATTACTTGTCACAGACAGCAAAAGCACATTCATTGCCGAAAGATCTCCAACAATCCACATATTGATATGACATCAATTTACTAGTGTTAAAGTATTAATGGCCTTCTCTGCAAAAAGCCCAGCCACTTCCATTCACATCGGATTAAGTTCATGATGTCAGTAGGACTCTTACAATTTAGGCCTTGCTCCCACTGGAATCAACAGATTTTTACATAGCTATTTATAGCACTTGCAGGAAATAAATTATACATGATGCTGATCCTATGGGGAGAGAAACTGCACATTAATGCATTATTTCTCTTTGCATTTTCATCAGCCCTGAAATAGGGAAGCTAACGGGACAATTAGGATGCAAAATTCACTCCCTCTAAGGAATTTAGTGAATTATCCACCTAACATGGGGAATCATGAGTAGGTAACAGGGATTTTGGAGGTGGTTAAAAATAGATTTGAAGCAGAGGGTTATGGAGGGACTGTGATTAATCTGGAGAGCTGAAACCAGCCACGGGTTGCTTTGTGGTGTTAATTACACCCCTGCGCTGAGGAACAGGATGGTAATCATACCTTCCTCTCCCTGGGAAGAACAAGGTGAGACATCTACCTGAAGAATTTACTCTTTCCTAAGACCCTGAGCTAAGAGGAAAACAAGGCACTGAGAAAATATGCTTCTTCCTCAATCTCGCGTGAGGATGCAACACCGGTACCATGAATCTCAGACTTGACTTTCCAACTTCCATCCTTCTTCACCTATTTCCTCCCTGGTCCTAAATAAAGCACCAGAGGATGAGGCTTGATCTGAGCCAGAAGATAGGAAGGGACTATATTCGTGGGTGGGTCACAGCATGGTGGCACCATTTTTTCATGATGGAAGATGCTGTGAGCCAGAGTTTATTTGTTCATGAGCCTTAAGGGGATAAAACAAGTGCAAAGGCAGAATCATCATTTCCTTGCTTCTAGGGTGGGGTGCTAACTTTCTAAATTTTAGCAAAAAGCTTGTTAGGGGAGAGAAATATGTATAAGAGAATGCCCAAAATGTGTTAAGGACTTCATGCTACCCCAGAGATGCCAGGTCTGGAGCAGATGCCCAAGTCCCAAGGCTCTCTGCAGCCCAAGCTATTTCTCTCTGAGACTGGCAGTTTTCACACACTAGGGCCAGGTGTGAAGAGAACAACGGAAAAGCTGCTCACTTCAGTGTGGGGTTTAGAAAACTCTCCAGAAAAATGAGAACAGGCAGAGAGGAGCCCCAGTGAGCTGTGGTTTCACATTTCATACGGCATGGCCTTGAATGTCACCTTTTGATGCAAACGTCATTGACCGTGACCTCTGATTTATTGCGCTGCTCTACAATACAATAAATAAACCCCCAGTGGCCTCAGCTGGCTAAAGGGCACCTGCCAATTACACAGCTGAATAAGTCCCTGTTCAGTGACGAAAGACAAGAGCATTTCCATAAGACTTCAAGTTTCCTCTCAGAAAAGGACAGAACTTGTTGGGGTCACTTATTGACAAAGATATCCAGAAATAATTTTTCCTTCTGAGTTTTTGTTTGTTTATTTGATCGGGGGATAGCAGTAGAGTTTAAATGTGGTATTTTGTTCTTGGAGTTTTTGTCTTTTGAGTTTCTATAACTATTTTCTGAGTTTTCGATCCTGCTGCTCCTACTGACATGCCTTGAGGCTTTGTAGATATCAACTCTCAGCCTGAATGTTTATTTTTATAAGTCTGGTAAGCAGGTTGCATACTGTGGATTGATCTGCTCTCCTTTAAAATGTGGCTTTAGAAGCTGTAGAAACTCCATCTAAGCGTTCGTATGGAGCTACTCTCCTGTTTTCCACAAGATGTGACAGTTGAGACTGTATTTTAATTTTATATTTTCACCTGAATATGTCTAAACTGAAACCTTAAGGCAGGCCCTAGAAAAAATAATCAAACTTTCTTTACATTTTGTTTCCTCAGTGTGAATTTTTCCTTTTGATAACTCGTTGTTAACTCGTATTTCTATTCTGCCATGGTTGTGACTTACCTAGTTATCTCATTTTACATGGAACTATGAGAGCAATTTACAGATTTTAAAAGTCTGGTATTTATTAGTTAAGTGTCCAATAAATTTCATATTATTCAAACAAGAGAACAGTGATTTAGGTATCTCTGCATTGGCTTTATGTGAAACCTAGCCTGATTTGAAAACGTCCTCATGCCAAACTCACCAGTTCCTGCCTTAAAAGCTTTAGAGAAATTTGAAGTTGTAAAGAATCAAAATTAAAGTCAGTGCAGTTAATAAAAATCTTTCCAGACTGCTGAGATATTTTTCCTGCCACGTCAATTCATTTCTTTTTTAACGCTTAAATTTCCCCTAAAATAATTTTGATAGAAAACTTTTATCCCGACATTTTCCAACTCCCTGTTGATAGTATTTTTTTAAAAAAGGATTATTCTAAATATCAGACTTTGATGATAGAGGTTCTGAATACCTGTAGTTGTGCATTCATAGTCAAAGCTGGTCACGTCATTCAGCTTCTTTTCCTGATATTCTGGCGGACCGATACACAGGACATCAGAAACAGTGGAATTCGTCATCTTCAACCACAGATACAACCACTTGGCTTTGCAGTCACATTCAAACTTATTGCCCCTCAAATCTCTAAAAAAACAAAACAAACACAGACACAGAGAAACAGGCATGTCAGAAATGTTTCAGCAGTAATACGAAACTCCAGAATTCTTAATATTCTGGCATATTCAACAAATAACAAAAAGTGGAATTTAAAAAATTTTTTCTATTTAATGCATCCAATGTCCTTTACTTCTCATTGATTTCATGGAACACTCTTCAGTGTCCTTGATTTTAACCACAGGGCACACAGAGGGTTCTCAGAGTTGACACACCACCATTTCTGCAAATCCTCTTGAAAATGTCACCACACCATGCTGGAAATGGGGGAGGGGTGAAAGAAGAACAGCACCCAGCATAGGTCCTTACACACAAAAACAAGACACTAAAGGAAGACAGTTCTGACAAATGCAATTGAAACTTTAAGATCTCATTAAACTTGGTCCAATAAGGAATGACAAAACACAAGAAGATGAAGCAGATGGATATGCCATCGCTCATGGGGAGAAAGGGGGACCCTCTCACCCAGCATGGCGAATTACCACTGGCCTAATTCTACTAAGCACAGTTAACATGGCAAAATCAAACACAATACAATCTATATGCTATTTCTCAGTGTTCACTGCTTTTTCATGGATTTTTAGCTACTACAACAACAAAATGCAGTATGGGGAAGACTGGATTTCAAGACAAGCACACATAAACTTAATTTTCATTACTTACAGTTCAATCAAAGAGTCTAAATCACTGAAGACATCCCTTGGGAGTGCTTTTATGTGGTTGTTGGCCAGAGAACTAGAACAAGAAAGTCACGATTTAATGTGTTTATTATCTTTATGCCCAGTCACTCTGAAGTCCCTTAAATAATGCAAGTGATTTAAAACAGAGCTCAATGCAGTTCAATGTCTGACTTTGGTCACTGATACTGAGATAAAGAATTTTAGTTTAGTTATAAAAAGATAACATTAGAGATGCTGAACTACACAATATAAGTTTTTTGTTTTGTTTTGAAAACAAGCATTTATTAAGCTCTTGATATATACATTAAACTTCATGTTTTGTGATATACATGATATACATGTTGGCATCTCACGTTTCTTAGAATAAAAGCCAAAGTCTTTTACACGGCACCCAAGGCCCCCCATGTCTAGTTACCTCCATTCCCACCTACCCGTGGGACTGAATCTCTAACGACTCAGATCACCCACACTGGTTGCTTTGCTATTCCTCACACAGGCTAGGCATGCTCCCAGCTCAAGTTCTCTGAACCTGGTGTTCATCTGCCTGATGCTCTTCCCCTAGTTATTCACACGGTTCAGCCAGCACCCTCTTGAGGTCCATCCTCCACTTTCACCACCTTCCCTGATCCCTACACTAGTCCCTTCCATGCTCTATTGATCATCATCACACAACAATCACTTAGCAAACACTATATATTATCTATTTGTTTACTGACTATGTATTCTCCCTAAACATAAGCTACATGAGGACAGAGGTTTTTGTCTGTCCATATCTGTATCCCTTGCATCTAGCACAGTGGCACACGGTGGGAACTCAGTAAGTCTTTCTCAATGAATGGTTTAAACACCAAATAAGAATGATTAAAAAAAAACAACAACAGATGTTCAGTCTTATCCCAAGAAGTTCCCTAGTAGGGCATCCAAGTGAATTTTATTACTTGTGACTAAAAAAAAAGGACTCAGTAAATACTCTTTTACATAAAGAATCTCAGCTCTAACCCTAATGATAATACAAAATCTCAGTGAACCACAGAGTTTAGGGAATGACTGATTGAGATCAATCTCATTTTCTCATTAATGAAGGTTAACTAGAAACCATTCTTCACTTTTGCTCTTCGAGTTGAAGAACTTTCTATAATGTCTCTCTATAATATAGCCCCCATCTTCAGGAAGTAGACTTGAACAAATATTATCAGCTCTTTCTCTGATGATTCAGGATTATGCAGTGTCCTGTCATCATCCTGCTGAAGATGAATGTCCACGGTGCTGGGCCGCTGACGTAGAAAGATGCTAGGTGTTGAAACGACATACATCAAGTCTGATTTCCCCCAGCCCTCGTGCCCTGAGTGAGTCAGCCAAAACACTCATGCTTACTTTTGTTTTCTTCTATACACTTGAGTACAAACAGAAAACACATAAATGATAATCAACACATAGGGAATTGAGCACCACCCCCTTTAAAAATATATATGAAATCAGTCTTTTATAGTATCCTAATGACCCATCCAAGAAGTAGGAATCAGACAGTGTTCTTCCTTAGAGTCAGCTAGAATAGAAAGCTTTGTGCCCATTTTTAATCCAAACATTCTTACTGCGTGATATCAACAGAATACAGGGAGACCTATAGTTTCTGAATTATGTCCTTTCTCATCCAGGTAACCACAAATGTATTGAAATACAATTTCACGTATCATTTTACACTTCTTTCCTAAATGATTTATTTGTATATTTTTAAAGATGTTGGAAATAGGTTGAACAGACGATAAATTGGAATTGTAACTACAGACTGTAGATTATAGACTTCAGATATAATCAGACTGAACATTCTCCAGAAGCAGCTTTTTGAAATTTAAAAAGGAGATAGTTGTTTTTATTTTTTTCTGGTTGCTAGTCACTTTTTTTTTAAAGTGAAGCACAATTTTTTAGCTAATTAAAGGTTACTAGTTTCCTGCATTGGAGAAGGAAATGGCAACCCACTCCAGTGTTCTTGCCTGGAGAATCCCAGGGACAGGGGTGTCTGGTGGGCTGCTGTCTATGGGGTCACACACAGTCGGACACGACTGACGTGACTTAGCAGCAGCAGCAGCAGTTTAGCTAAATATTTTTAGTGAATTGAAATGCACTAGATTGAATTGATAAGCATATATGGAGTCATCAAGGCCAAAATAAAAGCAACTGTTCTAAATGTTCAATTAAGATTTCAGAAAGCTGAATTATTTAGATGGACTATCCACCACCACCTCCCCACACCCCCAGACTCAGTGCAAAACATCCCACTTTCCACTTCATTTTGTCATGGCACTTACTTCATTTCTAAAACTACTTAACAGTAACTGGTCCCTTGGGCTTTGTGGGACCGCTGGAAAAACAAATGTCCCAGATTTTAGTTTCAGATTGGCACTGTTCCTTCAATGCTTTGAAACCTGATCTATGTTCTTTTGTGTATGAATGTGAGTCTGCAGGTGTTAGAAAAGCTCACAAAAGATAAAAAGCAGGTACTTAAGCAAATTTCAGATAGTCACTTCCTTAAGCACAGAAGTGAAGTTTAATGAGCTGATGTATTCTCTTTGCTTACCAGTTCACACACACACAAAAAAAAGAGGATGGGGTGGGCTGGGGATCAGTTCATTCCTTAGACAGTGTTTTGCTGCTTCATGCTCATGCTGCATGCATGCTCAGTCACGTTTGACTCTTTGTAACCCCATGGACTGTAGCCCACCAGGCTCCTCTGTCCATGAAATTTTCCAGGCAAGAATACTGGAGTGGGTTGCCATTTCCTACTCCAGGGAATCTTCCCAACCCAGGCATCTAACTCACATCCCCTGCATTGGTAGGTGGATTCTTTATCACTACACCACCTGGGAAACCCTGAACAGCATAGTAAATGTTTTTTATTACTACATACATCTCCAGCCTTAGAGGAGTCAACTTTAAAAGTCATAAGACTTGCACTGCACTGGAGCACATATGGAACACTCAGCTTAGTAACTCATTGGTCTGCCAGTGAGTCAGAAAGAACGCCCTGCTGGTTTGGCCCCATGTGAGATGCCGGGAAGGAGTGGAGCAAATGGAAGAGCTGTAGGAACCCTGCCCTCAGGGAGCTTTCAACCCAGCTCAGAGATGAAACTAGCATCCGTGAAATGGCATCAACCAATATGGCCAGTGTCTATTGCCAAGAACTGGTTGTGTGGAGTCAGCGGAGCAGGCTACAAGAAGGGAGGAGGGGGGGATCAGGACTGGCTCCAGGGAAAAGATAGAACTTAATCTGGACTGTGGAGGAAAAGGCAGGTCCCAGAAGACTGTGGGCAGAAGAAACCATCTTCTGGGCAAGGGAAATGATGTAAGGGAAAGGCTGGTTATGGGGTGAATTGGGTGTGCTCAGGAGAGCCCAGTATTGTGGGCATGTTCAGGGAAATAAGGCTGGAGAGCTGGGGATGGGGTGCTCCGTAGGCTTGACTGGAGGATGGTAACACATGCCAGATGAACGTACATCTCCTCTAACACATCAGATGCACTCTCGACCCAAACAAAAGACTCCTTTGTTCCCTCTGTGTGTGCCCCTGTGTGTCACACAGACAAGGAGGTGCCTCTTGCACACATATGGGTAACACAGCACATGGTTCTATGTGCAAATGCGCAAGCACACACACAGTTATGTACACCCATGAGTAGAAGTGCATGGACCAAGAGCCCACATACACAAAAATACGCAAATATATATGCACAATACCTGCATACTCACACCTGTTTCAGATCAGGGACCCACAGCCAATTGGTTCAATGAAAGCTGACATCTGGGCAACGTCAACCAGTCACACTGGCTTTGCTTTAGGTGCAGAATCTGCCCAGAGCCTTTGCTCAGAAACAAAGCCCCTCATTCCTGACTTTCGGGAAGTGGATTTGTCTGGCCACAGCTGTTCCTCTCCAGACATCCACAGCTGTCTTACCAAAGACCCTGTCTAGCCACCCAAACTGCCAAGGCTACTCAGCAGCCATTGGAGAAAACTTAGACTTCTTCACGGGTGGATGGACAGAGTGATGATGTTCTGCTGTGGAGGAGGAAGATGATAATAACGCCAACCAGATCTTGGGCATTTACCATGGATAATGGGCCGGATGCTTTGCAAACAAGCATTAACCCACCATGTGCAGCTATTTTATGAGTTCAGTATAATCATCCCCATTTTCAAAGATGAGGAAAATGAGGCTCAAAAAGGGTTAAATAATATTAACAAATGGCAGCCTTGAGACTTGCACCTAAGTCTATGTGACTCAAAGCCCACTGTCTTAGCCTCTACAAGAATGTGGGGATTGGGCATCTAGGCTGAATCTGAAAAAACAATCAAGACTTTTATAGGAAGGAAAGAAATCACAGAGAAATAATGCCAATAAGAGTTTGATGCTGTCCAGGATCGGCTGTGCTGTTTGGACCTCCCATTCCCGCTCCCTCATCTCCTTCCTCTACAAACTGTGACTCAGGCAAGACTTTGATTAGTAGGACTCCAGAATCGAGTGCTCGCTGATCCTACTGACAGATATCTTTGCCTCTATCAGGGTCTGATGTAAAAGATGATCCCTTTAGATGCTGTATCAGTTAGAGTTCACGTACAAGAGGTATTGACACCCTTGTGTAATACTCCTGCTCAAAGCCCTTCAATTTCCCCAGTTTATTTTTTTGACCATAGACAAGCTCACTATGGAAATGGGGTATGTTATCCTACTCACACACACAGTTTCTAGTATGCAAATACGACTGGTTCCTGGCTGTTAAATTGCTCCTACCAAGACAAAGACGATGTTCACATTTTCATAAGCTCAGCCACTATTTCTCCAGTTTTCTAAATTTGCTAAGTGTGTGGTGCTTGTTTCATTTGATACGCCAATTCAAATCAATTTGTTTAATTTTTTTCTCCAGAAAGCTATTAAAGAACCCAGAGAGCTTAGCTTAAGCCACAGATAAATCCAACATAAAAGAAAAAGCTATTTGCATTCAAATTAAAGGAACCACAAAAATGTCTCTATTCTGCTTCAACAAATGTTTATCTTCCATTCAGCATTCAATGAGTTAAGTAAGCCTCAGTTCCCAAATCTGTACAATGGGGACTCCCAGATTAAGGAGAAAGATAAAAGCTTACTAAGCACAAAGTCGGTACACAATGCATGTTTCTTTCCTTTCCATCTCCTCCATCAATCCCATCACCCCCTGATTTCACAGGCAGTCATGAACCACAATGGTGATTCAGGAAGATGGAGAAGATAAGAAAGCCAAGTGCGTGAGTGCTTATGATGGGATGGTGCCTGACTGACAATATAGAAACCTTTCGGGCAACCTAGAAATGAATTTCCTTCAGTGGCTATTATCAGTGTGGACAAAACAGTCAAGAAAGAGAGAGGCACTGGGAATTCCACTCAGTACCCTGTAACAGCCTACATGGGGAAAGAATCTGAAAAAAACAGATATGTGTATGTATAACTGAATCGTTTTGTTGTACACCTGAAAGTAACACGACACTGTAAATCAACTAGACCCCCATATAAAATAAAAATTTTATAAAAGGAGAGAAGCACCAGGAAGTGACCCTCACTCAACACATTAAAGAAGTTACAACACTTTTCACAGGACTTACAGGTGAGTCAGGTCACGGAGGCCACGGAAGGCGTTTCTTGAAATTGTTTCTATTTTGTTCCCTTCAATGAACCTAAGAAGAAAATTCATATAATTAAACTGAATTTTCTGTGCTTAATACCTCAAAAAAAGATACTGGGATGCTTTCAGAATGGAATCTAAAAGCATTTATGAATTTCAAAAATTCATGTCCAAAGTCTTGGCCAGCTACACCAGATTCCAAGTGGGAACCGGGTGTGTGTGCAAGAGCGCATGCACACAGATATGCTTTTTTGCATTCCTTCCAGAAGCAGCATGGAAGTCTTCAAAGTCAGAGTTGGCAGCATGGGTAGAAACATCTTGGGGGAGAAAGAAGAAAGCCCTAGATGAAGGCAAAGGAAAGGAAAGGAAAGGAAAGTGAAGTCACTCAGTCGTGTCTGACTCTTTGCGAGCCCATGGGCTATAGTCTAGCAGGCTCCTCTGACCGTGAGATTTTCCAGGCAAGAGTACTGGAGTGTATTACCATTTCCTTCTCCAAGACAACGACAAGATATTCTCAAATTCCACAAGACTGGAACGCTTCCAGACCTCTTTCCCCCTCCAACCTTCTTACATTTCACAGCACCTGGCTATTAATATTTTTCTTTATACCATTGTCCCTTGAACGGAGCCCTCTGTTTTACACCACCACATTGAAGCCTTTGAACTTCCCAGATGGCTGAATGGGTAAAGAACCTGACTGCCGATGGTAGGAGACACAGGAGACGCGGGTTCAGTCCCTGGGTCTGGAGGATCCCCTGGAGGAGGACACGGCAGCCCACTCCAGTATTCTCGCCTGGAGAATCCCATGGACAGAAGAGCCTCATGGGCTACAGTCCATATGGTTGCACAGAGTCAGACACAACTGAAGCGACTGAATGCTTATGCACACATTGAAGTCTTTGCCCAGGGATAATTCAGTTAAACCTGGCTTCCAACAAGCTTGGGCTTCCCTTGTGGCTCAGCTGGTAAAGAATCTGCCCGCAATGCAGAAGACCTGGGTTCAATCCCTGGGTAGGGAAGATTCCCTGGAGAAGGAAAAGGCTAGCCACTCCAGTATTCTGGCCTAGAGAATTCCATAGACTGTAGTCCATGGGGTTGCAAAGAGTCGGACATCACTAAGAGACTTTCATTCACTCACTCACTCCAACAAGCTTGAGTTCATCACGCCCTGCACGGCATCACCTCTGAACACATGGGCAACAAGACAGAGATACTCTCTAGATCTCTAGGTCACTGGAAATAGAAAGTATAAAGAAGGTGAGCACAGACCAAACTTCTTTCTCAGTGCTTAAATGTCTTAGGGCTTGCACATAGGATCTCACAATAAAAACTCCGGCCGTGCTTTAAAGTCTCTGTGGGAAACACATGAAGTGAATGCACTGGGACTATTCCTGAGGGCCACAGAGAACTAAATTTCAGTTTACAGCCTCACATTTCTTCAAGTATAAGAGGGTCTCTGATGAGATGGTCCAAGGGACAGGCTGTGCACTGTGATGTCATTAGTTAGTGAAACAGTTCCTGATCCGTACACTGAGAATGATCTGGTCTTTTTTTAAAAAAAAAAAAAATCAGAGGTCTCTTCAGTAATAAACGTCAGTATAAACTGAGAAGCAAACTTCCTCCTCAATAACTTTGACAGAAAGATGCACTACTGGAAAGAGAGAACAGACTGCTCTTTACTCAGCACCTCCATTGACTGTTTATGTGCTTCCGTAGAACCTAGTTAAACTTAGCACTTCAGCCTGACCGCTCTTCCCAGGTTACCTAGACTATCAGGTATTATGACAGTACCTGTATTATGTGTAGTCTGGAGAAAGAATTCCTCCAGAGACATCTTTCCTGAGGACAGAAAATCAGCAGAGAGCTTTCCTAGACACAGGATGTGCTTAGAATTCAAATATCTCAGATAAGAAGGCAGAGACAAAGTTTTAAAAATCCCTCTGAATGCTAAGTGAGGAAATCCCACCTGATAGCTGGATTAATATCATTACAAAGTGACAAAAGACAAGGCTGGGAGAACTTAAGGGGGAAAAAGACTATGAGAGTGTGAAAAGGCAGAAATCAGAGTGAGGGCAGAGCTCATTGCTGCTGACGGGACATCTGCACATCTGAAAAGGGAAAAATAACCTTTGTTTTAAAGGAGAAAAAATAAAATTAGACTCCCAGCAGCAGCTCACCGGGGATACTGCAAATGGGATATAGGACGGTTGAATTAAAAACATGAAGTTGTAGCCCCAAATATGGAGACTTTCTCACAAATATGTAACCCTCAGAATCCTTCAGCTTTATTTCTGGCTGATCAGCAAATCCACGCCTAGTTTTCAGAGGTAAAAATACCCGATGCAATTTCCAATTGTGCTTACGACATGACAAATTAAATGTCAGCAGAGAATGAATGAATATCTTTCCTTCTTTGTTTCCTTTCCCCCTCTTTTTCCCCAACCTCCTCCTGTCCCAGCAAGTTCATACACAAGTAAACTATAAAAGGTCAGCGCTGAAAAGAGAATGGGGTTTTCTGCATTTTCTCCCCCACCCCCAAGCTCTCTAAGAGATGCTGTTCCAGCTTGGAAAGCAATACAGCCATTCCACTGACATACCAATTACTCAGCACATAGACAAAGCACAAAACTTACAGGTATTCAAGATGAAAGAGTCCAGCAAAAGCATCATCCCGGATGACTGTGAATGAGTTAGAATTCAGCAATCTGAAAACAAGAGACAGATATCAACAGATTCCAGCGAATAAGCGCAAAAGTTGAGTTACATGGTGAAGCCGTTTCTGCTTCTTTGGTTATGTTCTGATCTGTGGGCAAACATGGGCTCTTCTCAGTCTAAAACTGGCCCATTCCATGCACAGCCTGACTCACAGACACTGATGGATAATGGCAAGTAGATTCCCTTTGGCCAGATTTTCTGGTCACCCTTATTATCCCACCTTTCTTCCCTGTGGGTCTCAGTAAATATGACCTAAGAGCTGTTGTCTCATAGCTTTCCAATGTTCAGCACAACTAAACAGCCAGTGAGTGCTTTATGATGCACACATCTATAAAGAAGTAATCTGACTCTTGGAGAAACTTGAATTCAGAGAAGTGAAGTGACTTGCTAAAAGTCACACAGTTGAGACCAAACAAAATGAAACAAAACAAAAAACCTTCCTAGCCTACTACAGCTGCCCATGGGAAATAACAAAAAAGTTTAAGAAAACTTCAGAAGATTCTTGTTCACCACATAGTTGTTTGCGTTGCCACTTAAGCCTTTGGTGAAAGTTTATAGTCTCTACCGTCACCACTGATGACTATTCTGCATTTGTATCATATGGAAAGAATATTTTAATAGAACTATAATTTCTCAGAAATTACAGATTTTAAAGTGGTAAGGATAATGCTGTAAGTAGGTACATAACATTTCAAAAACAAAAAGGTCAAAATGAAGTTGATTTGGGATGAGTCTACTATATGCCCTATCTTCATATCTTTCTGTTTGCATCAAGTATGTTGATAGTTTTCATTCTGATCTCATTCAAGTTTAAGAAACTAATTCCAAAAAAAGAGTGAGCTAAGTACTCATGACCTTGCCTGTCACTGATTTGCTTTTGAAAACTGCATTTTGGACATTGCTTTTTATCAGGAAATATTAACTGACCAAGGCTACAAGGCACAGGACACAAATTCTTGGCAGAAGCACCTGGGATGAAGAGGAGTTACGAGTGTGGGCTTTGGGCCCTGGGTCAGAGTTCTGGCTGTGATTTTGGGCAAGTTACTTAACTTCTCTGAGCCTCAGTTTTCCCATCTGTCAAATGGGAAAAGGAAAATACTGATATCATTAAATAAAAATTTGCCCATAAATGCATAGCATGCTGCCCAACAGTTTACATACTCAGTCTAATTTACATACTAGAAATATTCCTATGACCATAATAACATTAAGAGTTTAAAATGCAGGCTCTCTTTTAAAGGGAGGTGTTTGGGAAATGGTTCATTTGGGCAAAATTCAGGCCATAATTTAATGTAATTAATCTCCCCCATTGTTGCTGGCTGTGGGCGATGGCGTCTACAATAAAGTCCTTGAGGAAAACACATGCCAGAGAAGGAAAGGGAGCTGAGCACTGGGAACTCAGCTCGGTGGGGACACGATGGACCAAGTCAACACTAAAGAGCCTGCCTTGGTTTACTGGTGGAGCACGGGTATCTTGGGAAGGACAGATACCCAGGAGGCAGAGATGGCTCTTCCCAAGACCACAGCCCCAGGACCCGCAATTCCAGAGAGGACTTCCCACACTCACAGCAACTGCAGAGAAGGCAGATGGGAAAACATCCGGTCCTTGATTTCTGAGAAGGTTCCATTTACCAGGCTCCTATAGGCAAGAGAGGAACAATATGGAGACTATGTTGCTTTCAGGAAGTACCAGGCAGGATGGGCGAGTGGCCTTGTCCAAACTCCTCCACTCAGGAGCGAGGCTTCAAGCAGGACTTCTTAGGGTAAGAAACAAGACAAGTCCAGCCATTTTCCAATGAACTGGATCAATAAGAAAACTGCGCTGAATAATGGAAACCTTTACCATCAGTCTAGCTCCTTCCATAGACATTATCTCAGCCGGTTTAAATCAATCCCCTTGCTTCCTTTTCTTAACTACAGGAGGCCTTAGCTGAAAATGGATAATTGCTTTACCTCTGCCCATGATTCTGTTTGTGTAGACACAGCATTAATGTTGGCCCACGAAACTCCAGGATAGGATTAAGCATTCCCCTTGGGAGCACAGCTCTGAAAGTCACTCAGAGCACTTCTGATTAAACGCACCGTAAAAGCCTTGGGGAAAATCTCAGAGACACCTGAACTTGAATGTGCAGTGGGAGGCAATGCCATCTGTCAGATTTAACGGTCAACCAGAGCAAGAACCTTGACTATTTTAGCCACCAGGTCCCTCATCCTTTCTGGCCCCAGTAGGATCTCAATACATCATTTCAGAATTATTTCAGTTAGCATGCCATTGTGTTAAGCAGTTGGTGGTATAAGGGATTTAACCAGGGGAATTCTCATTTCTGGAATTCTCCATGTCATCTGACTTAGCAATATTAGGTGTCAAACGGGCCCTCTGTTCTGGCCTGGCCAGACTCTCCTGATTTCTATAAATGCAAATATGAAGCCCTTCACTCCTGGGTCTGGACCCCAGTACCTTGCTTGGGATGGAGGCAGGGAAGTGGAGACAAGAGAAAGTGTGAGCAACTTCCCCCTCCCCACTTTCAGGGGGAATCCGTGCCCTACAGAATAGGTATCACTCCAGCCCCTTGGCCCAGAACAAAGGAGTCATCTCAGCAGGAAACAGTTCCCAGCAGTGAAGATACAGCCCAAGAGCCCCTTCCACAGCCATGATGAGAGCTGGTCATGTGGCCCGAGTGGCTGTGTAAGGCCAGGTTGAAAGCATTCTCAAGCAGCTGAGTCAGTAAGGGAAGCCCTTTCCTATCCGCTCCTCCAGCACTGAATAGGCAGCCAGGGTAATGCGTGGTGGGGAAGTGGGCAAGAAGGCCTTGTAAACGCAGGGCAAGAAGTCAGGCTGACTCCCAGCACTTGCCCACTGAGCTGAATGCCCACCCTCTCTAGTGCTCCACCAAGTCCCCTGTGCTTCCCTCTTCCAGGCCACATGGAGCAGCACCACCACTTGCAGAGGTGACATACCCTTTCCCAGGTTCTGTCCAACCTGCAGTGTGAACAGGTCCAGAGGAGGCCACCGTGGAAACCACAGCCCCAGACCTCTCGGGTGGGACAATGAGGCCTCATCCTTGCGCAATGGCTCCAGTCCCCTGGGCTGCATATACACGCCCCCACCCAACCCCCACACGTCTCCACTCCAGCACACATCCTCCTCTCAAACTTTAATGCATGCCAGTGTCACCTGGGGACGGCCAAATGCAGACTCCGAGGCTCCACTCCCCAGACCCTGCATCATTCGGCGCGGGCCCCGGAATCTGCCTTGGCAAAAACTCTCCAAGGTGGATCTGATGCAGGTGGCCCGCGGGCCAGACTTTGAGAAAGCACTGCCACAGAGACTTGTCCGGCTTCCCAGACTCCGAGTCTCGGGTTCCCCTCATCCTCCCCGGGCCCCGAGGCTCCACCCACGTCCCACGGCGCGCCCCAACCCAAACGCAAAGAAAGGGGGCCGGGAAGCAGGGGAGTCAGGGTCGCGCTGTCCCGGCGCCAGAGGCAACTCCCGGGCAGCAGGGTGGGGCAGGACGGGGCAGGGGGCTGGCGGGGTCCCACTCACTCACAAGGAGCTGATGTCGCCCGGCACGATCCTGGGCACCCAGGAGGAGCCCACGCAGATGATGGACTCCTTGGTACAGCTGCAAGTGGCGGGGCAGCGCACCAGCCGCCTCACCTGCGCGCTCGGCGGTGTCAGGCACGCGGTGCCCAGCAGCAGCAGCAGCAGCCCCGGCGCCCCGCCGCCCCTCCGCAGCGCCATGCCCGGGTCCCCGGTCAGCCCGCCTGACATCAGCACCCGCGCCCGCAGCCCGCTCTGGCCAATGAATAATGCGGGGCGGGCGCCCGCCCGCGGGGAGGGGGCCTCACACCGCCCCCGCCGCGCCCCGCCGGCCCCTCCCGGACCCTTCCCAGGAGCTGCGGAGAGAGGAAAAAGTTAGGTGACCTTGGGGGAGGGGCCGGCCTGGACGGAGACCCCCGCCCCCACCCCGGGGACCTGGCTGAGCGATGGGGGATCAGATGCCCGCAGTCCCTCCACTGGCTCCAAATGATTTGGGGGGAGACCCTGGGCTCCTTTGAGCCAGACCAAAACGTGAGGAAGAAGGAAAAGTAGGGCTCGGGGCAATGGCTTGATCCCTGGGAAGGGAGACTTTGTCCTGGGTCTTTGAAGAGTACAGAATTTTGACCTGCCTTTATTAACATTTGAAGGATGTGAATGCTGTCATTTGAGTTCAGCGGGGATGGGCTTGCTTGTCTTTTGCGGTGGGGCTGTGGGGTCGGCTCCCTGCTCTCAGCACCGGAGGCTTACAGAAGCTAGCCGCCTTTCTCTCCTGAAAGCATGTAGGCAAGAAAAGCCGCTACAGCCCTGCGCGCCCCTGCTGCTCCGGGGGCCTGCCTACTGCTGGCCACTGAGCTCCAAAGCCTATCCAAGTTCTCCTCTCTCAGCGCATCACTAGCCACCCCACCCGCCCGAATTAAAGCACTAGGGTCGATAGTTAATAGAGACCCACGGTGATACATTCTAGGCTCTGTACATTCAATGTTCTAACTCTTTGAGGCATGCCCTAATCTACCCGTGAGGAAACTGAGGCACAGAAAACGTCAGTAACTGTCCGGTGGTCAAGGAGTAAATGGTTGGGCAGAAATGGGGGCTAGAGCCTGGATGGGGGATGTGGGTAACCAGGCCCTGCTGAGCCCCTCTTCTCACCCCACCTTTGATGTGCTGAGCTTGAATCTCACCACAAGATAGTGTGAGCTGGAGAAATCAAAAAAGATGGTCAACGCAGAATCAAAATGGCAAAAAGCCAGGACTACTCAGAGTGCAGAATCAAGGGCCCATCATCAGGCTGCTAACCAAGGAAATCATTTCATATGTGAAGATACTACTGAAGAAGCAGTACCGGATGCAAATGATTATGACTGTAGGAATCAGTACTATGGCTGCTTCAGCAATCATTTTAAGCAGATATGGCCAGCCACGGGGGCAGAGGGTGGGCAAAGGATCACGCTGTATCCTCAGGGAACTTGAAGTCTTGCTGGGCAGATAGCCCCGAAAAAGTAACTCCATATGGCTATATGGGGGTCACAGATTGACCATAAGGGGTTCAGGAATCGTAAGTCAGTTTGTTGCAGGTAACTTCATGGAGGGCGTTGACATTCATTGCAGGTCATCATTTAGCCAGCACCAAGCATCCATGGGAACCAATCTACATTTATCATCACTTCATTCACATCCGCCCTGGGAAATGGGTCTTCACATTTTATAGATGGGAAAACTTAGCTCAGAGATGTGTTTCTCTTGCCCAGGTTCACACAGTACATAGCCAGGAGGATCCTACTCCAGAACTGGCTGCTGTGTGTAACCCTCACTGCCGTGTTCTTATTTTGTTCCGGCTGCTCTGCAGGGGATGCAAAACTTCCCTGACTGGGGATCAAACCTGTGCCACCTGCAGTGGAACCACAGAGTCTTAACCGTGGGACCACGAGAGAAGTCCTCCTCACCACTGTGTTGACATGCATTGCCTACATACCTTGCTCGGCAAGGCCCAGTGCTGGCAGTGTGGATGCAGACCATGGTCTGGAGAGGGTGATAGGCACATGGACCCACAGCCATGGATATGTGTCCTGCACATCCTGAAAGATGTCTCCCTTGAGAGAGACAGGCTACTGCTTTATAGAGAGGAGGAGGTGGGGATTCTCAAACACAGTACCTTTTTGCTGACCCAGGAAAATGTTCTCAGCTGTGAAATGGAGCAAGGAAGTAGGGTAGGGAAGGTAGGCTCTCTGTCCCCAGAGCTAGATAGCTGTGGGTTTGCAACCCAGCCTGCCACTTACTATGTAATAGTGGCAAGTTATGGCCCACATTAAGGCAAACTCGATGCCTTAGTTTCCTCATCTGTAAAATGGGATAGTTGTGTGTACCTTTGGAAACTAAATGTGATCAAGACTATAATGGACCCAATGCCACATAAGAGGTACTAAGTATTTGTTCAGATGTCTGTGTGATATTGTGGGCAGGACAATTCTCAAATAAACCCTGGGATTGAAGGGAATGGGCAGTGGGTGGGGTGTGAGAGGCTGTGAAGGGAGATGAATTTTCCTAACCTTTGTGCCTCTGCTTTACTCAAGGACAAGACACATTATTTCTCAATCAGGGGTGACGCTTGGCAAAGTCTGGAGATAGCTGGGTTTTGCAGTGGGGTGGATGCTACTGGCACCTAACAGGTAGAGGCCAGGGATGCTGTAAAACATCAGTGCACAACAAAGCATGATCCAGCCCAAATACCACAAGTGCGGAGTGCAAACACCCTGGTCTAGTGTCCTGGAAAGACTCTTGGCATGAGGAATTCCAGAGGTGCAGATGAGGCCTGGCTCATCACTGATAAACAAATCTTGGTCATGTCACTCCCATCTCCAGCCTATATTTTCTCATCTATAAAATGGGTATAATGAAACCTTCCTCTTTATCCCCTAAATAAATGTGACATATCATCATTATTGGGCTTCCCTGGTGGTTCAGATGCTAAAGAATTCACCTGTAATACAGGAGACCTGGGTTCAATCCCTGAGTTGGGAAGATCCTCTGGAGATGGAAATGGCTACCCACTCCAGTATTCTTGCCTGAAGAATTCCATGAACAGAGGAGCCTGGTGGGCTACAGTCCATGGGGTCGAAAAGAGTCAGACATGACTGAGTGACTAACACTTTCACTTTCATCATCATTATTCCTATCCTTTCCCTCTCCAAGCTAGGTCTATCTCCAACCCATTTCCTCCAACCTGGAAAACTAGAAAGATCCTGATAGGAACGGTGCAGAGAGAAGACTTGGGTGGCATAGCTGGCAGGCTTGGTATTTGTTTCAGTTCTGCTAGAGACACTAAGTGAGTGCTTGTAAATTATAAGGTGCAGTTTATAAATTAAGATATAAAAATGGAAATGCAGATTACTTTGGTTTGATTCCAAGATCTTCAGTGGTTAAAAAAAAGAAAACCTTAATAGACAATCAGAGAAACACAATCTGTTTCCAGGAAATAGCAAGAGTTTTTCAAACTGTAAAAATTTTTGTTCAGACATACACTTACTCAAGCTCTAGCTCGTCAGGAGCATGCATTTCTATGGGGGATGAAATGACACAGGCTGAAGTGGCATGTGTAGGCAGATCAAAGCGTTATTCATTCATTCACCTCTCACTCAACCACCTGCCATTAGGTCAATATTGATTCAGAGCCTATTGGGTACTGGGTTGGATTTAGGTATGAAGTCGAAGGAAATGTCAAGAATGCCAGTTCTTGACATTTTTGGCTGGAGCCAGTGGGTTTATGGAGGGACCATTTCTTGAGATGAGAAAGTTTAGAAGAGGAGAGAGTTTGGCTGGGAGAGAGGTATCAAGGGTTTTGGATTGGCAATGTTGACCCTGAAATGCCCATGAGCCATCCACATGCTAATGCTGAGTTGGCAGCTAGATGGCCAGTGGATATAGTAAGGAGGAGGTGGTGGGGGTGGATCCTCAAACCTGTCTGAAACCTTGATGCTCCTTCAGGGAGCCCTCAGAGTAATGTTAGTTGATTGAAAGAATGAATGAGGGAATGAATGGATGATATTTTGTACATACAGACAATAAAGAGAAAATATCTATGAGGTCTAATCAGCAGGGAATCACAGAAATCTTGCAGAAGAGTGATAATTTAAGAATACTGCAGTTTGGGATCTATTTTTAAAGCAAACATAATCTTCAAATTCTAAACCAATCTGTAAATCGTGTAAGAATCTCAAAGACCTTACCATGCTTCTCATACGCCTCCCCCACTTTCCAACTAAACCCCATTGCACCTCCGTTCCTTCCCCCCCCACCCTCCATCCCTCCCAGGCTCACCCCCTCACCCCCCACCTCCACCCCCGTTCCCACCTTGCCACCTTACTGATGTTCTCACCAGACTTACAAGCTTTAGAAAGTCTTCACTAGCATCTAACTGGCTCTGATGCTTACTGTAATAACCAAACAAAAATTATTCATCCAAACCTCAAAGGTACTTGGTTTGAATGGCTACAAATTGGATTCTCTGGGGGAAAAAAAATCAAAACAGTCTTGTCTCTTTTTTTTCAAATCAAAGAGTTTGCCAATCCCTCTTTGACCACATCACCCTAATATGCCACTCTTGTGGTTGGCTGCTGGTCAAATGTTTCTGGCTTCCCATCGTTTCCTTTCTTCATCAACTCAGTGGGTGTCACAAGTCTGGAATTCATTCTGAATATGCCCCAAACTGGCCTCTTGAATTCAATTGTATTCTTGAAGAGCTGCCTGTGGGTATTTCATGCAGTTTCCTAAATCAGCTGAAAGGCCTCATGATGCTGGCCATGGTCTCTGATGATCTTTGCCACCTCCTCCCCACCACCAGGGTAATGGACACCTGTGGAATATCTGTCACTAGTCATCAACAATCCCTTCTCATGACAACAGGACACAATTTTGCTTCAGAGGGAATGATTCCTTCCCAACATTCAATCTAATTCAATTCAATTCTATGTGGTTCATTTGATGAATACTCTCATTTTCCACTGCACATGGCTCTAGACTAGAGCATTAGAGAACATTCCACTTTCCTTGCCACAGTGACTGGTTTTGTGGTGAATGCACCATCCAACAGGAGCAATCAGGGCTAACAAAACTGCTTGACAGGACTTAAATGGTTACTATATGGGGAAGAAGTCTTACCTTCCACTCACCAAGGAGTTGGGGTGTGTGAGCTGGAGAACCCACACAGGTTATTGTAAAGGTACCCC